GGAAAACGCTGGACACTGAAGACAGTGCTAATACTGCAGTAGATTTTAGGTTAGAAATGCTGTAATCCTAGTTCTGCAGTCTCAGAAGGTCTGTGGTAGAAAATGCAAAAAATAAATCTGACCTGGGTTGAAGAATTCTTGGAAAGTAAAATAAAAGTGATTTAGAAATGCTTTAGCAGGAAAACCTTCAGTGAGGAACATCAGTTGTGTTCCAAGTTGCTGTTTTCCACTGTCATTTATCAAACTAAATGAAATCCATCCATTGTTGAATGATTCTGAAAAACTCTAGAATATGTTGGTGACAATGTTTTTTTTATTTACTTTGAGTCCATGTTCCAATTTTGCTGAGGTTTCAGGTTTGCTCAACAAAGATATCCATCTTTACAAACCTGCTTCTTAGAAAAGCTCTCAGTTCTAAATACAAAACTCAATTGTTCTCAGCAGATAACAAACACACTCATTTGTGATATGCATGTCCACCCATCCATCCATCCATCCATTGTCTAAACCGCTAATCCTAACAAAGGTCATGGGGGTGCTGGAGCCAGCTGTCATTGGGTGAGAGGCAGGGTACACCCTGAACAGGTCGCCAGTCTATCACAGGGCGTGAGATGATTGTTTGTTGTATAACTCAATGTCTGATTGCACATTCTTGGAAAGAATTTCAGTTGCAGGAGAAGAACTGTTTGCTTTTCTACAAACAGAAGGGCAGATGGATGGATAGAGTCTGAAGTATTTGTATCTATGAATACTTAACAATAAAAAATAGTACAATTATATTGTATGTGGTATAGTAAACATCATCCATGTGTACAAATCCTTTGTAGGCTACGGCTTGGTGTTTAAAATGGTTTATAACAAAGAAGGGTTATAAGATATTTATATGATGTTTAGAACCATTTGTGTGCTTTACATTTTACAGATTATTTTAAAATGACCTAATAACATTTGATTAATAAGGTTACAAACATGTTATACAGAAATATGAAATATTCACTGTTTATATAGAGATTGTAGTTGTTAAGAAAGACAGTAAACACTTTAAAATGTTCTTATCTTTTGGGTGATTACATTAAATTGTTCTCCAAAGTTCATAGTTCAAGTTATTGAAGCTATTGTGTGTGCTCACTGACTGCCTGTGCACTTTAACAGCAAATATGACATTTACACTTTAATTTAATATCTTGAGCTTGTCAAAAGGTATTCTAAGAAAAGCAGTGGCAAGAATTCCTTAAAGCTGCTCTTGTCAATATTTATATATTAACACTAGGTGTCAGCTGACTATGCTATGGTTCTAGTGATAAACCCCCAGAGAAGTACAGTGTTACCAAGTCTGCATGTCTTCCTTACCTCTATTAGTGTTGCTCGCTTGTTTGGTTTTATGGCCTGCAACCTCAGAGGCAGATGTTTTCATCTTAAAAAAAAATCCTAAACTCGACTGTATTCTACCTGCCCAGCACCAGATGACACAGAGAGTAAGTTAACAGGTAGAGCTGGTGAACAGAGTGCAGCATTTAGCAGCTAGTGAACTAGCTTTTTTTTCCAGGAGATGGTGGAACCTAAAATAGCACTAAAATACCTAACGTCCACTCATCAGATGAACAACACCACACCAAATTAATACTAGCATTACTCCAAACCTGCTGAATGTGCAAATATGTATCTGTTACAGAACGACCTGTGACTTGTTGAGAGTGTTCAGGAGCAACAAGTGCTGCAGCTGTGATGATGGCGTGCAATGAAAGCTGATCTTGAAGGCTGGACAGTAAAAGCACCTAAATCAAAGTAATGCATTGAGCATTGCAGGTTGCTAATAGCTCCCTGGTACGGCTCTCCTCAGAGTGCCCCTCCTTCTGGCTCTCCCACTATAACAGTGACAACATCGCTGTGTGCATAAGGTCATCTCATCCCTCACCAAATCCCTGATGTTCCCAACCTTGCTGTAACAGGCTTAAGGTCATTTATGACATCACACTACATAAACAGGATCCCTCAGTGTGCCATTAGTCACCACTAAGGCAACTACATCTCACCTGCGTGTCTTTAATGAAGTGTTGCCAACTGATCTTCTTTTATCAAGCAAAAGGTGTGTGTTATGTGTGTCCCCTTTTCCTAATGCAAATGCTTTTTAGTGCTGTCAATCAAAACATTTAGTCATGATTAATCACATGATTGTCTATTGTTAACTCATGACTAACTCAGTTAATCAATCACAATTTTAAAATCTGTTATAAACTGTGGTGATAAGTAACTAAGTTGTCAAACAATCTCCAGCCAAAATTTGTAGACAAAACTTTTGTAAACAGAGTCAAAATTAAGTTTTATTTAAGACAAATTGTTTGTTGAACCTCAGAGACGCCACCAGAAAGACTGGCGATCAGATCAAATTAGGCATGGTTTCCTTCAAGACATCTCTAAAACGCCACACAGACAGAACGGACCTCCAGCTCAGCCAGGGTCCAGAACAGAGACTACAGCCACAAACCGAGAAGCAACCCACCAAAAAGAGCTAGCCATCTGAGCCAGCGATGAGAGATCCTTTTCAGAGCTTGCAGCCCTGATGAGTTCTTCAACTCTGGTCCACCAGCCCCAGCTATGTGCCCCCCTGCAGCTAATGGCTGCATTTAATATTGTATTTCAGTAAAAATACAGAATAATGTCAAATGATATCTTAGAAAGCTTTTCCAAGATTAAAAAAAATTTAGCAGCATTTTAAAATGGCATGCTGAAGTGGATCTAATTTTCCCACTTAGGCCTACATTACATTACAAGATGTTATAACGCAAATAAATGTATATAACCAGTGGCAGTCTGTGGTTTAGGCAACATAGGCAATTTCCTACAGTGCCAATGCATGAGGTGTGCACATTAGCAGCCAGTTTAATAAGAGATTACATGCTAAGGTCTCATCGGTCACAATAAGTGCCAACACCAGTGTGGGTGTGCAGGGCCTTTCATCTATAGCAAGGCATCACATTCTATAAGCTGGTCATATGTTTTGTATATATTAAATTAACAAGCTGCTCTATCTGTCAGACAGATGGAGTGGAGCACAAAGTAATATAAAACTGAAATACTCAGTTGTAATAAAAGTGTATCAAAGTCCTACTTCAGCACAGTACTTGAGTAAATGTCGTTGTAATAAAAGTGTATCAAAATCCTACTTTAGCACAGTACTTGAGTAAATGTATTTATGTATTTAGATTCTATTGTTAGCCATTACTATCAATTTGCAATTAGATTTTGTGCAGTGTTCATATCCCAGTTCCATATTACCATGCAACTGTATACGGTGCATACAAAATAAAATGTCATACTATATAGTTGTGGAGTTAGTATATAATCTGTGTACATTTTCTACTAAAAGGACATGATGCACTATATCCACAGATGGACATCAGTCAGACTACAACTTCAAATATCAACCTCATCTTAATCCTGTTTATCACGCCAGAGATAAAAAGGTTTGCTGTGTGGGCACAAAGTTGAACGACGGCCAACAGGATATAATCCTGCCTTCCAATGAGGGCCTGAAGCTCGCTGAACAAGGGGTGTTGTAAACATATTCACATGTGCAGGTTTTACAGATGTTCCTAAGGCTGCATAAAACCTCTCCACAATAAGACAGCAACATGTTTTTTTTTTGCAGATCTAATATTAAATAATCCACCATCATGTTATTTGTTTTCAGTTTTCTGCATTTGCTTTCCTATGCAAGAGCACACTCAGACATGTTTTTAATATTGCTCTTTCCTCATTGTGAACATATTCTCAAAACCTCCTTACAATAAGTTGGAAACATGTTAAAGGACACCAGCAAATGCACAAGGCCACTGGACCACCAGGGGCATTAAGAAACTGTGCACATACAGTTGGGAGTTTGTCAGGTCAACTTTCATCTGCATCAGAGCTACTTTGATTTCGATTAAAATACTTTTAGATAACACTACTTGAGAAGACATTCCAAAGAAAACCTCCTGGTCTGACCCGTACTGGTCATCTCATTGCTCTGCTGCTGTGTTTATTTACACTGTGAAACAGGCTGTCCTCTCCCACCGTGGCACTGGTACGGTTGTTGACATTATTGTCATAATGATGGAAATTAACTTCCTAAAATGATTTTATTCGATTTGAGTGTCAGGCCAAAAAGTGCTGATGTTCACCCTCAAAGAACAAAATTCATTATGAGCACAACGAATGTTCAGCTACTCCAGACAACACTGCATATTAATGAACACTGTAATTATGTCGTTCCATAATGATTACAAGCAGCAGTAGAGCACACAGTGTTACTGCTTAATTGGAGGGCAGTGTTACAGCACACTGTTGTTTTCTGTGTTTCTGGTTCATCTCAGGGGGAAAAGTTAAACTTAGAAAAATGGGTGGCTCTAAAATGTATGTGCTTATGAATATTCACACATTCACAATCACTTGTTTTGTCATTTTGAGGAAGAAAAGCTATGTCATGCACTTCATAGCTCTACTCCTTTCTTGTGAATTCACTGAAGCTTAAGATTTGGTTTATTTTCCTGTGGTACAAACATATAATTTGTTTTTACCCTGGCTGACACCAGTAGGACAACTTCATATCAGTTTAAACATGGGATTTGTTTAAACAACAATAGAAGCCCTGATTTCTCTGAACACATGACATAATTCCATAATTTATCTGCTGAACATTACTGCTGTTTGGATCCAGGTGCCTCAGGCCACAAGCCTTTCCCTCATTTTCTGCAAGACAGCAGCAATGTGTGCCAATTTTACAGACAGGAGCTGTGTTTCAGAATGTTTGTTCATAGGATTGCTGATATTTATGAATGCAAACCGTAGAGATGTCCAAATGTTATGCCTAAGGAGTTCAAACCTGGCAAGTGTGCCTTCACTGCATGGGCTTTGGGATACAAATGAATCGACTAACAGGCCTTCGTGGGATGTGTGTAAGAAGGTCAAGAAGTAAGGAGGAATAAGAAACAAAGCAGCATACGTTTTAGCTTGTTGTTTTTAAATTATTTTAATATTTTCTTCGACTTCTTTGCAAAAGTAACAGACAATATACATTCACAATAAAAATAGTTCCGATCGCAACAAAACATTCAAACGTACCTATATAAAATTTACAATAAGATGCAAACAACGGGATTTCCCCCCAGCATTGCACCTCCTGAGCCGAGTCTCTTTCCTCCCCCCTCTGGCATCTGTAAGGGGCACGGCGTCAACAAAACACATTTTACTCATCGATGTGGGAGTCTTACAAGGTATGAAGCCACGTCACACATTGGGCCTGATTTACAGAACAAGATAACACTCTCAAATGTCTTGTGGGCAGTGTTTGTTTTTGGCGGTTTAAGCGGACTCGGGTGTCCAGTCGGTGTCCTCGGAAGCGGCGCTGCGCCGGGCGTCTCCTCGCCTCCCATGTCAGCTTCTCAAGCTGACGCACCAGGCTCCCTCTGCTTTCAAAGGTTTGTGTCGAGTATCTGCCTCGTATTCTACTTAGCTGATCACACATCTCTCTTTGTCTTTGCCCTGGCCGCCTCCGATTGCCTTCTCCTTGATGTACATGAGGTCGCTGTGCACGCTGGGTCTCCGGGCGCATGGAGTGACCACACCGTATGCTTCCCCAGTGTCCTTCAGTTTCTTGTTTTTCAGAGACTTTCTGTGCAGCATGTCGCAGTACTGTACGGACACTTTCCGATGAAGGTCAGGGCTCATTTCGTGAGGTAGTTTGGCCAAGGTGAACAGAGTCTGAAACATCTTATCCACGTTCTCGTTGCGCTTGGCGGAGATCTCGAAGTACGCACACTTCTCGTCCCCGGCCACCAGCTGCTCGATCTCCTCTTGCTGCACCTCCCGGTAAAACTCTCTGTCGCCCTTGTTCCCGCAGATGACCAGAGGCACGTCGATGTTCTCTTTGATTTTATTTTTCAGGCACGACTTGGTCTCGTAGATCTGCCGCTTGAGCCGCTGCACTTCGTGGAAGGAGTCTCGGTTGTCCAGGCTGAAAACGAGGATGAACACGTCACCTGGAGAGAGAAGAGGACACTTCGGTTAATTTGGTTCGTTTTCGATTTGTGCAAAGTGGAGTAGAGATGCAGCCTGTGCGCCTGCGACCTCCAAGGTATAACAGACAGATGCACACTGCAGCCATGCGCCCAAAGCGCACGGTGCACAACGCCTGCATGGATGCAACATTTAAAACCGGATTCTATACATCTTGCACAAACAGAATGAGATAAATGTAGATAAATACCTGTCAGGATAGATAGTCTCCTCATGGCGGGGAACGGGTGGTTCCCTGAAGTATCCAGTATGTCTAGCTGGTAAACGTCTCCCTTGATGCTGTACAGTTTCCTGTGAAAGTCCTCGATAGTCGGCGTGTACTGTTCGTCGAACCTCCCGTTCAGGAACCGGGATACGATGGCCGTTTTTCCAACTTTAGTGGATCCCAAAATCACCATCCTGTAGCAGTTCTTTGCAGGGATATTAAAGTCGCTCTCGGAGGGCGACATCTTCTTAATCATGGTTAAACCCGTGTGCGTGGACGTCTTTTCCTAAGATATGTGTGCGTAAAAGGCAGCTAAGCAGCCTTCGGTGAGTGGAAATGATCTAGTTGCTCTGCTGTGCGCTTCTGTTTCAATTCAGGATTGGAGTCTTGTATATAAGCGCACGGCAGATCCCTCCTCCCGTCCACGTCGGGAAAAGCGGGCCAAACTCCCGCTGTTGCGTCAGTCTTCCATGTCTATTGAATACAAGACCCGACACCCCCCCGCCCCATACTCAAACCCCAATAGTACCTACAACAGCAAAATTCCGAACTTTCACGGTATAGTACACTGTTAATGATTGAGTTCTTTTTCCGGCATCAAACCCGGTTTGGTACACTGTGAGTGAACCTTGGACATTTTCTCATAATATCAAACCTGGACAGCGGATATGAATTCTTCTAGACTAGTTTAATGATAAATGAGGCTTTTAAATTGCGGTTACCTCCATTTACATAATGCAGATTGTAATAAGCAGCACTAAGCGCATTCTCATGTCTTCAAAAGGACAAATATATGCAAAATAACACACTGCTACCTCTTTGCCCTTCAATATTCAAATAAAGTTGTTTGTCTCCCACTATCTTATATAAAGCCACATTCGATCATGTGTTCATTCACTAGATGCTGCGGTGAGACAGAAGGATTCTGCAGAAGTTCGGAGTAAGGAAGTTCGCAGGAAGGACATGCTGCACTTACTCCTTTGACCAAAAGGGGGCACTCAGGGTATGATTTCATCCAGAATGACAAAAACTCGTCCTTTATGTGTTGTATGCGTTTAATACGTTAACATATGAGCAGCCTGCACCTGCCTGTTTAGCTGAATGGCTTCAAGAGATTTTTTTAAATCACAGCCTACAATGCACACAGACATATGTATAACAGTCTATTGAAACCTCATTCACCTGTAATGAACGACATGAGTAACAGTACAGCAGGAGGCAGTTACTGGGTTAAACTCCAGGCACAAGAACAGCTGATTCAAAGCTTTAATACAGTTCATTCATTCAGGTGTGAAGAACTAACTTATTGGCACCACATAAGAAAAATGTAACAACTCTGATAAAAGTATAGTTTGACCCAGACTTCCTGAAGACTTATAGACATAATAAGACTAAAAAGGTGATTTAGATGTCCCCCAAATATCCAGACTTATGCTGAGGTGTGGGCCCAGGGGCCTGTCTCAGGGTTTCTGTCATTGTAAAGCTGTCTCACTTTCCACCATGGTGACCTGAGCTGTGCAGCTAACCTGCTCTGGAGCAAGGTCATTCCAAACACATCAGCATAAAATATTAGCTTATATATAAACAAATAGACAATTAAAAGACATAGTGATTACTCTAACATCAAACCGTGCTGGATGGGGGATTGTGGCTTTTAGAATTTGACCATCTGTAGTATGAAATCACTAGAATGCAACTGAATTTTTCTTTTCTCTCTCCTTTTAATGTATGAATTACACCTATGCTAAAGATTATAATACAATAATTTTATGAGTAAACTTTTGAGTAACAACAGTTTTCTCTCAGGTGGAGCTGGAGCAACACTGAGGGTGAAGCCTGACTGAAGCAGCTGATGCTGATCAGCTAGTGCAAGTACAACTTCAGGTCTCTGCTTCAACTAAGGCCCCAGACACAGTCCACGCACGTAACCGAGCACAAATGACAACGCGATGGCTTCCATTGCACCCATAGGCCCAGAGATCAGGTTATAAATGCAACACAAACACAGACTGGTCTCGCTCTCATACTGACAGTGGCAGATATGGCTGCAAACAATATTTTATACATTTTCCTTTTTTGTCTGTAACGTTATTGCTCTTATGACAAAACATGATATGTGGGTATAATACTGATACATAGTCTTGTAGCTCGTAAGTGTAACATGTTTAAGAACTAAGTGCTGTCTGAAAAAATATAAGCTCCATGTGAGTCCTCTGTGAGCAAGCTGTAAACAGATGAATGCTTCTCACATCTTTTCTCACCAAACTCTGTTGGTAAGTGTGACTGGGCCCTGAACCTTTCAACTCTGAGCTAGTCAGTGAGCTTATTGTCTGTGTTGGATAAGGGTTAACTACAGCGTGTGCGTCAGAGTCAGAGGATGATGCTGCTCAGCAAGTTCAGAGCATCAAATGTTTTGTTTTTTTTCATGTTCAGATAAACAAGCTCTCTGATAGGTGCCACAAGGACCTTCTGTGTTCTATACCCTGTGACCCAGTCTCTCAAGTATGTGTGTAACTTGAGGCAGCTGCAGAACAAGACAGTGTATTCTTGTGCATTTAACAGAGAATATGTACTTTCACTATTCCCTTACTGAGCATAAGTCCCACTGGGAGACAGCGAAAATAAGCATAAGCAGTACATGGACACAATAACAAAAAAAGGATTACGTGCTTATTAAAGATCTGATACAAACAGATAAAAGGAAAAGGTGTCAATAGGTGAGGCTCGTGGGCAGAGCCAAGGGGTGGCCGGAGGTGGCACCGGCCGTCCCCAGAATCGGATTGGCCACCCCTGTCAGGGTCAAAATGTGATGCTTGTCAGTAGTAATGAATGGAAAACAATGACACGTTGTTACCTTAAATACAACTAACAGTTTTCTAATACTCTCTATTTGTCAAATTAGTTTTGTTTTATATCATGCATTCATTTCTCTGATTGTGTTGCTGTGGAGCACTTGGCATGATTTGCCCAAGTGTTGTGAGCCACTGCAGCAGCGACGTCCCTGGCAATGATGAGGAGCACAGTCAAAGGTAGCTAAAGAAAGCACCGTGTGTGTCTCACTGTTATACAAAATAAACTGTGTGATTTTTTATACTGTATGGTTTATTTCATAGAACTAAGGGTTGAATTTACATTTTCCATGTCTTAAATATGCCACCCCTCTGGGTTTGAGCCTGGCCACCCCATCCAAAACTTTCTAAATCCACCCCTGGAGAGGCTAAATGAATAAATAAATAAATAAAGGCATCATCACTCAGCTCTTCCTCTCTCGTTCCATTGCTGCTACATCAAAAGCAAAAAACAAAACTATTAAACGAAAACTACCAGCTGAGTTGTATCCTCAGTGTGAGCAGCAGGTGAAGACGGTTTTGTTTTTGGCCGATAATAGTGCTGCGAGGGAAGGACTGATGTACTGTAGCACCACAGGGGAACAGGAAACGTAGAGTGGAAAAACAAATGGTGCAGGCAGTAAGCAAATAGGACTTCTGCCATGCAGCTCATAAAAGACAGAGGGAGAGGTAAACAGTAGGCGTTGGAAAAAACTGGCATGAAATGGTATAAAAACAGAGGCCACATTTACACCGTTGCTGTAATCAGGGCGAGTACACTCACAGGCATCCACAGTGCTCATTCCAACGTGTTGAAGGTCAGATTTCTCCACCTCTACAGTCGGCCTTACTCCCTTAGAAATACACTTCAGTATGCAGATGCAATCAGGAAGCAGAGCATCATTCACAGGGCAGTTCATGACCTGCAAGTGTTAAACAACTACGGTTACATGTTTCATTTGTGTGTGGATATACTGTAGCTGACAGGCTTTTGCTGTTTGTTTTGTCAACAATTAGTACAATTACAAAGCAATGCAGTAACAATAGATTCTCCAACCCCACAGAGGAATCGCAAGTCTATATTATACTTAAAATATTCCAACATGGTGTCTAGGTCAAAATTCCTCATCTTAATGAGCGTTCACAGGTATCCCAACACCCTGGAGCTTCCACCATGCTACGAGCAAACATCTTTCTATGGTGTCTATTTCCAAACAATAGTTTAAAGTGTCTTTGTGTAAAATTTGATGCTTTCTGTGTGAGCTTGCCTGATTATGCACGTACAGTATGTGTAAATAACAGTGTGCTGGTCTGTACTGTCCGTGTTGCTAAATGCAGTAACATCAGCATGTCAGCACGCTCACAGCAGTTAGCATCCATAATGAGGACCATGTTCACCATCTTAGCTTACTAACATTTGAGAATTTGCACTGAACACAAAGTACAGCTGAGGCTGATGCTAATGTCTGGGTTTGGTAGTATTTGGTCATAAAACAACTATCAGACAAATTGAAATTTTGATACTC